TAACTTCAATATTTAAAAAATCTTCATTGTAAGAGTAACGGGTAGACTGTCTTTGTATGTGCGTATTCCACTGTAGCGCCCGGTACCTTAATGGGAAACCCTATAGTTTGTACATGTTCAATACAATTGTAACACTGTACACATGAACGTTTCTTTTTTCGGTTCACCAAAAAAAAATCTCACTCCAAGCTGAACTCAAATGTTGGCAGCCCTGATTAAACATTAAAAAGATCAGGCAGTTCAGAGAGAATCAAAGGCAGGCAGGCAGGCAGGCAGGCAGCTCTGCATGACATTCTTCTGGACGTGTTTCCTTGTGGTGATAGTGAGGGTAGTCAATCCCTTTTTTGACAAGACAGTAGTGACGGCCATCTTGGTGACGTGTGTTGTTGTGCGAGACCAGAGATGTAGTTCATTCAGCGTTTCACACAAACAAATGTGTTACTTCACAGTTTTATGACACATTTTTATTTATTTGACTTGCAAAATGATCTTTTAAATTGACAAACATCATATGTGTAATTTGTGGCATAATTCAAACGGGATCGAAAGACAATCTTTCTCTCTCCATTGACTTCAATACATAATTTTTCCGAATTAAGGTCCCATGGAGCTCCCCCGGAAGGGGAGGGACTTCGCCTCTCTATTGCTGTGTCTTAATTAGAATATGCTACAAATCGTCATGAGGCCTAATTGTTAGTATCCAAAATGAATATGCAATTTAAACAAAGCATATCAACTTAGAATATTGTCATAAGAGCAAGAATAGTGGAATAAAAAAAGGGTGCATGTTGCTGTCACTGTTTGCTTGGTTCATGCTAACACATGGTAAACTGTTTCACTGCTTGTGTGGTGTTATAACATTTTTAGACACAAGCATTGCAATCATTTTTTTGACAAGAAAAAACGCCTTACCACGCTTTATCCCCGAGCCTGCTGCTGGTATTTGAGCAACATTACAAAGACAGCACATAAACCATCTGTTGTACACCCTCCCTGTTGCACACTACAGGACACACTAGCTACAGGGTTGTAGGGGGAGCCATCACTCAGCAGCAGCTTAAATTTGACTCTGCACAACAATGGCGCTGTGCTTCCAATATTAAACCCATCTGCATAGGGTTAACTCGAGACATCTGGAATTCTGCTCCAGCCTGGCCAAATGATGTCATGTGCAAAAGGGGTTAAGTTGCTGTTGGGTAAACCCTCTGCTTCACAGCGAGATACGTTCAAGAAAAGAATGTGCAATGCAAACAGTGCAGTTTAGCGTGTTTTTGTTCAATGTGTAGTAGTTCCAGAGGTATTTTTCAAGCTGTGTTGGACTGTATACCACAGACCAACTTGACCAACATTTCAAAAGATATTTATTTGAGAAACGTAACAACAATGTCCCTTTGCAGAAAACATGACCCGGTTACTCATGATACTTCACAGACTTTGTTGAAAGCAGTGTCAATGTAGCAACAATTTGCTTGTTGCTGAACTTTGCTCGGTGATCTGGTAGATGGGTGTAACTTGGCAGAAAGAAAAATGTTCCTACAAAAAACTGCTCTTAACTGTGGATTTTCTTGAATAACCATAACCGGGTCTTGTTTTTCACCGCTTTGAGCACCTTAAGCCAATTGCCATCTAGCTCCAATATATTGCGAAGTAGGGAGACATCTTTAGGACCAATTACACTACAGGTAAAAGGAAAATATGCATGTTAGGTGAACTGTCCCTTTAAACCTGTCATATGCACCACACAGCCTGCTTTCTGCCTCTTGTCACCAAGGAAACCCTGGTCATCCACTCTGTCACCACAGAGGAGTAGACTTACTATATTCATGTCTCACAAACAGTTGATGCTTCTGTTCACAAGCAGCACATCTTACCTTACAATGAGCACTGAGAGAAAGGAGGAGACCGAATCTGGACCCAATATGATGACGCTGTCCGTCAGGAATAGCTAGACAGCAGACCCGTGCAGTCCCTTTAAATAGACACGGTCATCCTCTGCGAGCTGGCAAACACACACAGACACACACACGCACAGCAGAGGGAGTAAGGGAACACCACAGTCAGTTGGAGCACAGATGTAGAAGACAGGAAATGTTTTATTGTCTCAAACCAAGGCATTTATCTTTCCTCAATCCCTAATGTAATGCTACCATTCTCTTCCTTGCCTCTCATTTCCTACAACACATGCTTTCACACACACTCGCACTGTTGCAAACCTGACCCTCTCTAGACAAAGGAAGAGGACGAAATGAGATGTAAGAGAGAAGTGAGAGGATGGATGGGCTAGTAACCTCTGACAGGCCTTCTTCTTCTCCTGACTATCCTCTTCATCGCCCTGCCCTTCGCTTTATTCTTCACTACTTGTTTCAACAAGGCTCCTTTTCTCTCTAGATACCCAATATCCCAGCCTTTTCCATTCTCTTTCATGCAATGTGTATGGCTCTGCCTATGCCTCACCCTCCCTTTTCTCTGCATGCTGTGTCCTTGTATCCCTGGCAACCGATGATATCATTTAGTCCAGAGCTGGGAGCACGGTCTCAAGCAAGCAGGGGGGTGTATGCGTGTGATTTTTGACATCAAGATAGAGGGGGGGGGGATTAAGTCTGCAAGCAATACACAGCTGTCAGTTGAATAAAAAAAAACTGTCATTGTTAAGAGACAATCTGCTAATAGGCTGCAATTTGCGTCCGCATTTAGACAAACCAACAGCCTGTCCTTTTCTTGCACACTCTCTGGAGCTGCTTGCTAGCTGCAGTGAATCACTGCAGATGTGCATCTCCTGCTGAGACTGTCTGTGAGCCAGTAGTAAGGATCCTGTACCATAAAAGGAGAGATGGGCTGCACCAGACTAGGTCTGTCTCCGGTGGCTCGCAGGCTGGCTAACAAGAGGAGAAGAGATGAAGAGGAAGCGACAGATAGGCTGGATGGACAATCCTCCCTGGATGCATGCACATGTGTGAATTTATTGGTTTTGAGCTGGAAAAAGTGCCACAATCACAGAGAGAGAGAGTGTACAGTATGAGTCGAATATCAATCACATTTCTAAAAATAACACCCCCGCAGCCACACTCCCCTCAGCTCTATCCCCTTCTCCCCCTCTCTTTAATAGCAGCTTCTCCCGGTGTATGCTCCATAAAGCACAGCCCTCTCTGAGGGGTGCTGGAACGTTCCAAGGCAAGGTCAAGAGCAAGGAAGAGGGGTGTCTTTTGCAAGCGATGCAAAATGTACATTTTTGGGTTTTTTTGTTAACAAAGACAATGGGGGAGGTTAACAGGTTTGAAGAAGGCACCGGGTGCACGTGTGTGTTTTGTGTTCAAACAGCTGGGTTGTGAGGGGAGTAGGAGAATCAAATGTTCAGGTGTTTGCCAAAAGCTGGCAATCAAGTCAACTGGAAGCATACGTGTGGCACTAGTCATACTGTAGAAAGTAACCCAAAATAATATTTATTTATTGTATTTAAAACACGAAAAAAAGAGACCCGCAACTTTATGTTCTAAATAAATATTTTTGTCTGAAATTGTGAAAAAGTCAATAAAGGTTTGTCAAAGTGAAGGGTTACGTCTTGACATGTTTTGTTTTGTCAGTCCTAAACTCAAAGATATTCACTTTGATGTTTTACAAAAAAGAGAAATGCAAGAAATATCCATATTTAAAAAGACTGAAAAACACATTACTGCCATTATGCACTGGAAATGACTAACGACTCATCTATGACCAAAAAAGTTGCATATTATTTCCTGTCTGATTGAGGGATCAACTAATGGTTGCAGCTCTAACGCTCATACAATTGTGTCAACAAATCTATGAGTTCATTTCATAGAGAAATCTTTAAAACAGAGTTCCTGTACAAAGACTTATCCAAAAGCACCACTTCACCAGAGATGTGCTAACAAGTTTCTTTGAAATAAGTTAAAAAGCATGATAAAAGTGACTTGGCGACTTAATAAATCTTAGCCGACAAACACCAAAATGAGAGGGGGCAGTCTCACATTTTGAGCTCTTTATTAAATCAAAGAAAAATAGCGACATAAAGCTTTCTGTGTGAGATGCGTTACAGACTAATCTGAACTTTCTTTGGAGCCAAGTAGTGATGTGACACAGTTTAAACACAAGACTAAAAGGGAGATTAATCCTCACTTGCTCTCACTGTAGCTCCAAACACACACACACACACACACACACACACACACACACACACACACACACACACACACACACACACACACACACACACACACACACACACACACACACACACACACACTACACACTACACACTACACTACTACACTACACTACTACNCATGCATGAATGTGCAGCACAGTCTGCAGACAGACACACACACACACACACACACACACACACACGTTTAATTGAGTGTAGCCGCAACAGTTTCCCTTCACTAGATTCTTCATTTCACATTTTTTATTTCTGCTCCTGCATTCTGTGTCTGCACATGAGCACTGTATCTGTGTATCTGTGTTTGAGTGTGTGTGTGTGTGTGTGTGTGTGTGTGTGTGTGTGTGTGTGTGTGTGTGTGTGTGTGTGTGTGTGTGTGTGTGTGTGTCTGTCTGCAGACTGTGCTGCACATTCATGCATGAAGCTCACACACGCACGCGCACGCACGCACGCACACACACACTGCAGTATGTTCTGCCAGGACGATGGCACATATAATAGACAAACATGTAGACACACACGGGATAAAATGAAATGGAAGCACATGCTCGCGCTTCTTCCACACTCGTAGATGAAGTGTATTTACATTTAGCCATTAGCAAATAGCACACGAAGCAGCTCCACTGTAGCCCTTCTTTTACCTCTCTGTTTTTCTTGTCTTCGCTCTCTTTGGTCCACACGCCCCTCTTGGCTCCCCTATTCCTCCCTTGCACTACTCGCCACCTTGTCTGGCCCGTTCCTCTCTCCTCTGTCTTCTTTCTTCCACCTCACCTCCTCCTCTTCCTGTTTCCACTCCGCTCTCAGATGCTCCGGCTCTGTAGCAGACTGATCCATGTACGGAGAGCGAGGAGGCGGGCCTATAGAGCTGCCAATCACAAGGCACAAGCCAATGAGAGGGGAGAGAAACTCTCACATTTTGCAGCTATCTAGGGGAGGGAAGTGGTAGCAAACAGAGGCTTGGGGGGCTTTTCATTTTTTATATTCCTCCTGCTGTATATGTGAGGGTCGGGAATGAGTTGGAACATGGCCAGTACAGTAAAGAAGGCATTTTACATTTCTCCACAGCTGTGTGATACATTTTACTGGAGTCCACAGACATGAACCCCCCCTAAAATATCACTGCAAGTGGTTGACACCTATTTGCATGAATCCTAAAAAAATAGGATACATTAGGTCTTAATTAAAGGGTAGTAGAATCGTCATGTAGGCATATTGGTAAGAACGATGCACATCCCATGTATGTGGCTCATGGGGAGCTAACTGCATATCCATGTATATTTCTGGAGGAATTGGGAGGCGAATCTGAGGCAAATGGTGACAGACGGCCTGCGAGTGTTGTCTGAGCTCAAATGTCAAGTGGCAGGATACAGGGGGAGGTGGGGCTATACAGCTCCAGGTTTATGAGGGAGGATCTACTTTGTCGCTCATGATTACTCCCAAAAAACTCTCGCTACGATATCCTCATTCCACCCATCAGTGACAAATGAAAAAGCAGGCAGAGATGTGCACTGAGAGGTAGAGACGGAGGATGAGGAGCCAGACGAATGTGAGGGTGAAATGGTGGAAGAAAGGAGCCAGCCTGAGCCCACTGCCAGGTTTTTTTTCTTCATTTTTTTGCCTCTCAAATGCCTTAGCAACAGCTCCTGAACAGCCCAAATTCTATTGGCCAATGTATGACCCCATGTGAGTATTTGGACCAATGAGAAGGCTTTGGTGCAGAACTTGAGCGGGGAGAGCTTCACAGGCGAATATATTATCTGCTAAACAGAGCCCCCTGGTGGCTCAATGAGGATCTGTTCCTCAGAAAGCCAAACTGTCATGCTGATACAGTTATTATACAGCAACATTTTTAACAATGTCACTCACGCTTCAGAAATGAACAACTGAATAATCTCGGGGTTTATCCGTTTTTTTGTTCTCTTTTTAGTGTGTTTGTGTTGTGGATTATTTCGATGTATGCATCTTTAAGTAAAGCTGTATTTGTTAATGTGTTAATAGTCCTATGCAATTTTGCATATATGCATATAAATAATTGTATAGTTGTATATTTTGTTTCAATATATTCAATAATGTTAAGATATGTATATCTTTTTTTATTATTAATGTGTGCTTCTATTCAACTGGAGCATGAATGCTGTTTAAAAGTGACAGTTTAATGTCACAGTAATTGAACAACAAATAACAAATGCGTTAAGATATTTGACCATTAGTTTAGATAATAAGTCACATTTTGGTAAGATAGCGCTTTCACAAAATTCTATGTGAAAAATAAGAGGAAAAGGTTAAGGAAGGAGAATCAGTCAGGAATCATTCAGGAAAATCATGGGAAAATAAGATTTTTTGGAATTGCAATTAATTCAAAAGATTCATTTTGAGTAGCCCCAAGTGAAACATAAAACTGTATAACAATTTTTAAAACTAAATAATTGAATTTACCTATAAAACACTTTTTAAAATACAATATTGTTTAACATTTGGCTACATTTTATAATAAAAGTCTACCTCACACTTTTTAGATTTTTTTAACGTTTGAATCTGTAATGTTTATAGGCATTTTACCCTAGCTTGTAAGAGCTGATCATCATGGTGCAGGTAAAGGGAACAGGCTCAAAACAAGCCTAGACGGCCACCTAGTGTGCAATATATATTACTGCACAATGATGTACTAGCTTTGGAACAGAGCTGCATGGGACATTTAAATGTAGGCCTACAGTGTGTGCTAAAAATAATAGGCAACATTTTTGTAAATTAGGACTATGTATTACATTTAATAATATTGCTGCATTTATTATATAGTTTGAAATTAATGTCACGTGTGAGTCTCCCATTACTAAAATTGTTAAATTATAACAAATCATTTCTTGAATTTGTCATTAAATCTCTCAACAACCTGGTACATTCATACTTGTCTGTTGAGTTTTTATCAATTCAGATGCCTGATACACAGAACCTTGAGGGGTTTATTTAAATTGTGTGCCATAAAGAAACAGACCAGATGATTTTTTTCGTGCTGCCCTGAAAGCTCACATTCATTTTGACCATCTAAAGACAACTTGACCACCAGTAATTGCATTTTGTACCAAAGTGCTATAACATTAGACTTGACAGCAGTAACATTTTCTGCTTCTTCCACTGAAGATGAAACAGCAGAGGGCAGCTGAGCTGGTTCTGTACTTGGTCAGAATATATCATTTTAATTGGTAAAAATGCTGACAGCAGAAAAATGTCTGTTCACATAACTGCATCATCAGCCCCAGCTACATAAGTTATGATTGTCATAACTCAGGATTAGATCAGAGAGGCAAGCTGGTCCCTCGATGAATAACCACAGTCGGTCACTCAAATTGACTTATTAGGGCAGTGAGGGATTGTTGCTCCAGCTTATCTGACTATCACTTACCATTTGCATAAGACTGCATGAGAAGAGGCAGCGTAGCACAGCAGCAGACACACCAGCCATTGATATACAGCACATTTCAACTCCTTTACACCATAGACGAAAAGGCCTCTGGTTCCCTATCTTTTTTGACGGACACCTCCTCCACAGAACTGTAACATTATCTCACTCCTTAATCAACACCATTGTTCAAGATAATTTCAACTGAATTGAAAACGTGATGTTAAATATTACTATTGATATAAAAGTGAATATTGCCACTTTGAGTTAATCAATTGCTAAAAACTATTATAGTATTGTAGCATTACTTTTAAGCTTGCTTGCTAACTATAATCTTTATACACTCAAGGATGTATAGTTATTCAATAATACTTGCTACTCACAAATCTTTCCACATACCCCCCAAAGTGCCCCAACATGGATAGAATACTGAACACACCTACCAGTGTCAGGGTCCTCTGCTAGACGTCACACAACATGTTAATCAAAGAGTCACATGCCAACCATACTCCAAAAGAGCACAAAGCACCATAAAGAGACACAACATGATCGCAAAGATACTAAAAGGAACTGCAGAGACACAAAGCAACTACAAAAAGACTCAACATGACTACAAAGAGACACACAAATGACCAGGAAGAGGAAAAAACAACTACAAAAAGTCTACAAAAAGAAAGAGACTATTACAAAGTGACATATACAACTCAGACTCAAAGAAGAAACAGAAAATACACACATAGAAACGCAAAACAATATTCCTCTTCAGAACGTGTGTAATGAGATCCATAACACTGACACAACACATGGTCAATGAGAAGAGCAATCAGTGACTCTTCTGTGAGGGGATAGTCAATGCAGCATTGCACTGACAATCATCCAATAGTGGTAGTAAATGTGTTTGATCATAAAAAGAGCACAAATAAAGAATCTGCATAATGTGTGTCCAAGAGTGTTGGGGGTATTTCTTATTCTGCTTCTTCACATTCATCAGTTTCTTCACAACTGGTTTATGTATCAGTCTTGCTTTTGAACTGGTCACTTTGTCGTAGTTTTGCATTCATGCATTATCTCTACTATTCACGATTAAAAGCATAGTACCTCTGAAGAGCACTGGCCACTCTAGGCCTTTTGTTCCTGACTGAGACAGATTAGACACTTTTGCATTTTATATTACGCTGATAGCATGAGTCTGAATGTAAAACATCTATGTCCTGTGTTTCACCTCATCACTCTTTAAGAGTGCACTGCAGTTATAGCTAGAATAAGATGTATCTATTTAAACAATGAGTGTACAATACATGCATTGCACCACATTGACTATAAGCAGTAGTGGAAAGTAACTTATTGCATTTACTCAAGTACTATATTGTACATTTTGAGGTACACATACTTTACTTGAGTGTTTCCATTTTATGCTACTTTATACTTGCACTCTACTAGATTTTGGCAGAAAATATTCTACCTTTTACTCCATTATCTGACAACATTAATTATTAGTTATTTTTGCAGGTACATGTTAATAATAGAAAAAGTAATTAATGCATTATTATGTAATTTTATGGATGGGGATACCTGACCGTATAACAAGTTACTAATTTTGTGTCCTGCAAACATTTAAATGATGGACACATTAATGCATCACTATATATAAACCAGAGATATAATATATATTATACTGAAAATGGATATTTTGATAATGGATACTTTTAGATTTAGTACTGAAGTATTTGATGCAGCTAATCATTTGGTTATTTTACTTAAGTAAAATGTTTAATGCAGGGCGTTTACTTGTATTTCTACACTGTGGTGTATACTTTTATACTCAAGCAAAGATCTGAGTACTTCTTCCACCCGATCCTAGAGGCTCAATGAGGATTTCCATCTGTTGTCTGTGGAAATGTGTATTATGGACGTATAACAAATTCCCCAAAATCTTCATAAATGCACCGGACAACCCAACATATTCAGACCTTGATGACAACTTGATTGTCTCTTTTTCAACCATTTTTCAACATCAGTTTAAACTGACTAATACACTCACATACTTATATATATTCTGTAATGGAAACCCCTATAGTCTTCCTCTACAGCAAAAATAAAAGGGCCAAAATATATACATTTTGGGCAGCAGTAAGCGGACCACACGTGAAACAAGGCCTTCACAAGTTGTTCAGAATAGCTATGTTTGTTTTTAATTTCTCGAGGTACTAAGGTGAATTTGTGAAATACTGACTTTGTAAATATGTGACATGACCGCAAGTAGTTGATAATCCTGTATTTTGTCACCTTCACCATGGATTGCACCATTTATAAAATATAATAGCTTCTATCCCAAAGAGCAAACCATAATGTCATTAAGAACTCACAGAGACAAACTTGTCAAATAAACATCAGTAGGTTTGTTACAGTAGCTTTACTTCAAAATGAGAAATACATCCTTAAAGAACATACGCTTTCGAAAAATAGTCATAGGAACAAACTTCTTTGGAATTGTGTGATAAAGCCCATCCACGCCCACAAATGAAAGGAGACCTGTCTTTTGTCAAACTCTACTTTGCATATCTGGACTGTAATAATCGTAACTGCAAACCCTTTCTGTCATTGCTTGCCAGTCGGACTGACTGAGGAGACGTTTTTGACCATGACAATTCTATTTTTGCTAGGCTGTTTTTTGCCTCTACTTTCTGCAACAGTTGTTCTAGATTTTAATCACATTGAGAGATGTAAGGACTCCCTGTACATGGGGACTCCACCGAGGGGCTTCACCGACAACAACCTGAAGAGGATCTGCCAACGTTACGCCGACAGACCTCGCTATGTGACCCTGTACGACCCCCAGAAGAGGATTCCCGTTTACTCAGCTTATACATTCAAGAAAACAGAGGGAGACAGGCGTGTGGACTACCCATGGATGTTTGAGCCACAGGTGGGAGACTAGTCTTTGAGTAATAGTTTAAGTTTAGTCAAAGTGCAGGCATAGTAAATAAAGACAAATCAGTTGTGATAATATGAGAATTATGTTTACTATTACAAGAATAAAGATGTACTTTCAAGAAAAATGTGGAATATTATGAAAATTAACGTAGTTATAATTACAAGTGTTGGTTTTAATATAGTAGTACAAATTATATTTGTCTTTTATGTGTGAAGTGAGTGTTGATGACCTATAGTTGCAACTTAATTTTTAAAATATTATGAATTGGATTCAGTTTAATTGTAGGCATGCACAATATAATCAACAAATAATATATCATTTATTGATCCAAGCGACCCTGCAGTATAAATTATCCTTTACCAGCTGCTACATTAAAGTGACAAACAAATTATTTCATCAATAATTGTAAGTCAATAAAATTATAAATACTATTCTGAAATGGGCTGTTGTGCAAACTAAGTAGACTTTTTACTTCAAGTATATTTGAATGGTAATACCTTTGTATTTGTTTAAAAAAAAAAAAAAAAAAAGGATTTTGAATGTAGGTAACAAACGTATTTCTATACTCTGGTTTTACTATTTTGACTGAAGTGAAGCTTTCATTGGGAATAAACAATAATGGCTTTGCACACTGTAAAATGTGTTAAATTGATCTGACTTTTAAAAATCTAAGTTCATTTCCTCATACAATTTAATATCGGTATCAGTCCAGGTTTACGTAAAATCACCTGTCGGCCATAATAGAAACCTTTATAGTCTTCCTCTACAGCAAAAAAAGGGCCTAATGTTAGACATTTTGTGCAAAACAAGGCTCTCACAAGTTGTTCAGAATGGGTTAAGTTCACCTAAAATGTTTCTGTATTTACTTCATTTTGTAAAGTTGTTCCAACTTAAAAATGTGATGTGGAATTAACTTGTTCTATTTGAGTGTAGGCTCTCATTCCCATCATGTGTGTCTCCACAGCTGGCAGAAACTGACGGGAATGGAAACATGCAGCCCTTCCCCACCGGCTACCTGCACATGAAGTTCGAGGACAGCCAGGCCGTCCTGGACGACTACTCTGACGTGGTCCTGTATGAGAGGGGTCACCTGAACCCGGACCAGCACCAATCCACGCCACACGACCGGGCCGCCACCTACACTCTGACCAACGTGGTCCCGCAGATCCGCGAGTTCAACATCGGGCCATGGCGCCAGTACGAGGAGCGGATCAGACTCCGCCTCAACAACTTCTGCCGCGGCGTGGCCTACATCGTGACCGGAGTAACCACCAGGGGCAACATGATCCGCAGGAACAACCAGGACCGGGTGGCCATCCCCGAAGATGTGTGGTCCGCCTACTGCTGCCCAGACTATGACCGCAACTCCCCGAGTGATGTCCGCATTCGCTTCCCTACCTACGCGGTCCTGGCCAAGAATGCCAAAGAAGGAAACAGCGTCCACGAGATGCCGCTCATGGAACTTGAGATCTTCCTGAAAAGTAATTTGGATGTTGACCAGAACCTCCAGATCTTCTATGACAACTGCATCTCCCCTTCACCCCTCCCTCTGTACCTGCAACACACTATTTAAAAGCTCTATGGGTTGGGTTGGATAAATTACACAGAAAAAACAGAAACTCTGACTTTAATTAAATGTATTGTGTCAACAAATTTCAAATAAATGTTTTAGGTTAGTTGAAAGCAATAATATTAAGTTTTAATACTAAATAAATTCAACTTAATATTATTGCTTTCAACTAACCTAATACAGTTATGTGTAATCTGTTGACATAATTAATTTCAATAAAGTCAACATTTCAGTTTTTTCAGTGTGGAGAAAATTGTCATAGTTCACAGTAAAGTTAATTCAAAATTCCTCTTGCAGCTTAGTTATTCTTCGGGGAAAAACGTTTTTGAATAACTGTTTCCTTTCATCATCTGTTATTTGACCAACAAATCGTAAAGCAACACATGTTACAGGAGAGCTGCTTTGTTGGGAGAGGGAATAAAATGTGTGGAAAGCTATTCAAATTGGCTCCTTTAATAAAGTATAGTTCATTCACGCGATTTGTGATTGTGTCATTACTTTTCATTCTTGTCAAATGTTAGTGGTAAGCTTAGAAAAAGCTCCTTATCCTCCTGAGAATGTGAGTTTGAATGTTTAGTCAGTTATGAAAATTGGATTGGATCTATGGCTATCTGATGGGTTTTAGTGCGTTTAGTCATTGAGTTGATCCACTTGTAAAAGTATTTTGAATATCATATAAAATATTCCATGGTCAGTTGTATAACTTGTTGCAGGGTTACTGAAGTTTTAGAAAACCAACAGGATTTAGGAACTGTTAAAAATGTACCACCTTAATGCTATTTTTAGAAACGAAAGAGTGAGGATAATATATTAAAACATTAAATTGGTCAAAGATAACCTCTGTGAATATTATGTCATGGAGACTTTTCATATTTTTGGTTTGTGGTATGGTTTTATGGGATGCTGAAAATTACATTTATTTTTGAAATTCTAAAGAGGAAGATGCTTTCTGTTTTTTTTCAGTCGGAAGCAGTCATTTTCTGATGCAGCAGACCTTTCTTACATATTATGGCCTTCACTGCCATCTAGTGACAAAGGAAAATAATTTCCTCAGATCACTTCTCCCAGAAAAAACAGCTGAGTATTATTGTCTGTAAAGGTAATCAGGTTGAGCGCAAAAGAGAAATACTATCAGTCATCCAAACAATTATGCAATCTGTATATGATGATTCTGCTGTTATAACACAAATAATGTTGATAGATAGAGTGCACGTCAACCATAAGAGTTATTAGACAGTGCAAAGGCTAATAACTTGTTTGTTATTACAGCAATATTTCAGGGCAGATACTTTAAACCAAAATAAATGAATAAGATAGGAAAAACTATTAAAAACTGCAGAAAGTTGCATTATTAACTGGTGCAAGACCATATTTCATTTTTTCTTTCTCTTCTGTAATGAATTCTTCTAAATTAATTAAAAACAACTTGCACCACCTTGCTTATTAAAGGGATGTATCTTTATTGTTTTTCCAAGGTAATTATCCGTTGCCTACCTGTGATAATTATAATGCTGAATACTTCATTTGGGAAGAAAATATCAACTGACTAGAGTGACATTTGAGAGGTAAAAAGAGCAATGTGGAGCTTTTTCCCCAGCAATAACACAGAACTAAATGTATCTGTGGCCAAAAAAAGTTTTAATTGTTTCCACATCGGGGCTTAAACGAATGGAAATCCATGCAATAGCACAGATTCTTCATCCAAAAGCCCCAGTGCATCAGTCAGTTCCTGTATGTTGCTATAATATTGATTTATTGTGTACACAAGCTGAATAAATAAACACCAGAGGTCAGTTCCCTTCATAAAACTGGTGCTGTTATTTTTAGCTTTGGAATTCAAATCTCTGGATAACTTTAAAACCTCACAGAATGAGAGTCAAAACTCCGTATATTTGGTTATGTACAATGGAATTACGGGATTGTGGACATTTTGAGGATACATTAGAATAACAGCTGTAAGCAAAAACATTTCAAACTGAAAAAATAAACAGTTTATGACGATTTAAAATCTTACCCACATCAATCAAACACCATGGTTCCTCTTTCTCTCCGTCTAGGCGGCCATCTTCTCTCTTAAAACAATAAAAACCAAGATCAATCCTGCCACACTAGAAAAAGAAACACAGATGAGATTAGTATTACATTATAACAAGAAAAGCATGTTAGTAACTAAATGTTTTTCATGTTATAACAAGATATGTTCACAACATACAAACGTATTACGTAATAACATTATAGACATTCTTATAATCTGACATTTCTCACATTGACAAATTGATTTCACATAAAATAAATTATATTATAGGGGGATTACTTCAATTGTTATAACCAAGATAAAAGTGCATTTGCAACTCCACTGGTAGTAAAATGAATAACCATTGTATAGAAGTTTATGAAAAGAGGACCCCACTTCTCACTTGGTTTATTACCTCAGTAAACATTTTCCTTAATAAGTTTGTGTCCTCAATCACTATTTTGAAGTCTTATTGAATAAAGTAATGTGAGCAACCACCCACCCACAAACCAACCACCCAACTATCCATCCATCCATCCATCCATCCAACCAACCAACCAACCAACCACATACCCAACCAACCAACCAACCAACCAACCAACCAACCAACCAACCAACCAACCAACCAACCAACCATCCAACCATCCAACCAACCAACCAACCAACCAACCAACCAACCAACCAACCATCCAACCAACAAAAAGCGCAACAGTATAGTGGGGTACTTCCACCGACATGGCTTTAAAATACAGTTTTCATTTTGCATCGCTCACATTGTGACACAAACGGTTGAAAGCATTTGTTTAAGAATGTCTTTTAATGTTTTCCAGTTCAGATACACAACATACAGTGTGTAATAGCCTCTATTTGAAATAGAAATATTAACTTTAATTTGTTCAACTCCTTCGGGTCATTATGCTCTCTCACAGTATCTTGAGCTCAAGCAGGTTACTGAATTGGACTAAATGAAACAGACAAACAGGTGCAAGCCTTCACTTTACCATTTCAGCAATAAATGTAATAAGAAGATATTTGGATCTTTGAAATGTTTTTTTTTTTTAATATATATATATTTTTCCTTACCTTAAGCCAACATCAAAACTGTAGTGTAAACATGTAAACTTAGTGAGTGTGCTTCCGTTATCTGTTGGCTGTCCAAACGCTTGTTTAGAAAAGGAAATGCTGTTTTTATAACGCTGTTTTTGGACTAACATCAAAAAGGTTCAATAATCCCATAAACAGAATGTGCAGAGAAACTTGCAAAAGGTAGCAAAAACAACCACCATGATTAGAGTCAGAAATAAGACCAAAAGAGTACAAAGGATTCCAAAACCTCCCAATTATGACAATGCTCAAGACAATGTGAGACATTAACAATTAAATCCAACAGCATCACAAGTAAAATTCTCGATTTGTAGTTTGTTTTGAGCACATATGAAAACGTGCGCCCATTTTCACATTTCATTCCTCAAAACATCCCAATTTTCCCGTCTTGTGTCGATTCCCTGCAGCTGTTCTTTGGCTTTTCAACCAATGAAAGGACTCAAACGCTGCCTCCATGATTGATGGGATAGTGCCATGTGTGTGATATGCTTTAGACAGGCATATTATCCAGTAAGAGCATTTTTATCACCACAACATCTAGGCTAACCTGAGCTGTAAGCATTCCTTTTTTTGAGTATTTGTTATCCTCAACCATGCTGTGATTTATTTTTTTCATTATTAACATATGTTAACAGATTCCTGTGCCCATAAACTATTGGAATTGGCCCTTGAGATCTAGGAAAGAAAGGAGAATAAAACATACGCATGAGTGCTAAAATCATGTAAGTTAGTCACCTAAACTTGCACCTGTTGTCACAAAGAAAAGATCCGGCCAATCACTCAAACCAAACGACAAACATAATATTTACAAATTCCAGTTTGTTCTCTTACACTTAAAAAATGTACAGTTTTGTTTCATGTGTTGGTTTTTGTTCTTTTTGTCCTCGCAGCTCGCTCCAGTCCAGTGTGAGGGATGGCAGTCTGGCTCCAGAGTGTTGTTGACCTGAGCAGACCGGATACAGAACAAGGAGCGGGGGGGAATTCATCCCGCTCGCCTTGCTTTCGTGATTTATGGTGTATGAGTAATGTCTGTCAATAAAGATTTAAATCAGGTTTTTTAGAACACATCCTCAGTGCATCGACAGATCATATCATTGATCACTGCCGGCATTTGTCCAGTGTTGTCCTAATGTCACTGGGATTTTTTTCCCTCAGAATTGTCCAGAGTGCGACCTGTCTCTCGTTGTGCAAAAAGATGTGAAACGCGCGTACGAGGCTTTCTCTCCTTTGGACCGTCATAAATATATCTCCCACCCCACAGAAGGGAGAATCATGAAACAACAAAAGACGAAAAGATAACTGTCAGGCAGTCTTTGAAGAATTTGGTTAATGTCAGTCACAGACAAAAACCTTATTTAGACTATTCATGTAACAGAGTTTTGTTTTTTTTGTAACTTAAAAAGTGCTATCTTCAGGTGAGATTGAGAGACAGTGACTGCGAAGTTGACAGTTGCAAAAGATAAAGAGAAACAGAGCAAAAGAGGGAGGAGCGGAAAAGGCTTTCATCAGTCTTTCTGGTAGTTTTGCAGCACAGTCTCAGTGTCAGGACATGACAAAAATAAAGAGGAAATATTTACTCTCTTTGTTATAATCATATCATATAATTATAGTTTTACACAATATTCATCTCTTAATACTTTAATACCCTTTTGAAGTACCACAAAGTGCAGCTGATATTAAAATAGAAAATGTAAATGATTAAAACAAAATAAAAAACTCAATGAAAAACGAGGCAAATCATTCAAATGGCAAACAAATGTCTCTGTCCACACTCCTTAGAAAAGAAAAAACATCATGCAAATATCCCAGACAGCAAAGTAGTTAATAAAACTTTATATACTTTTTTTTTTTTCAAACAAGGATATATTGAATCTGATTTCCCTTTAAAGAAGAAGGGACCAGCCACAGTGCAACATTGAGTGTAATAATAATAATAATAATAAAAAAAGTGT